GTGTGTGTGTGTGTGTGTGTGTGTGTGTGTGTGTGTGTGTGTGTGTGTGGTGTGAATGCCAATCAGATTTGATATAGACAGAAGTCATGTCTGCCACGCTCTGGGAAGCAGGTGCTGTTGCCCCTGCATTGACTCTGACCTCTGGGAGCCCCGCGTATGTCAGAGCAGACTGCTCCTAGTGCTTCCAGGGGCGGGATTTCAGGAGTGGATGACCAGGTCTCACCTCCAAGGCGCTTCTGAGTTGACTTGAACCTCTCACCTTTCAGTTAGCAGCCGATCATTCCCTCCAGGAACTATTTTGTGCCTGAGCCTTAATAGGCATATACTTGTTTATAAATTATTAAAAATAGAAGGTAGGCAACAATAAGATAAAGTCAATATAAACAAAAGTCCTATGATACTTTTCTTGCACCTCCAAAGGTAGTCTTTCGGTGTCTTTGCCAACTAGAACCGGAAGGCCACAAAGTTAAACGATGAAAGAGAGGGGGCTAATCCCTTTAGAATAGATGGATGAAATAGTCATCAGTTTTGCATCCTCCTAAAATCTTACTATCACTGCAAAGGAATTGAAGACACAGAGGAGGAGGTGGAGGAGGAGAACGCGGAGAAGGAATCAGTGACAAAGAGGGAGACATCAGGAACAGAGAAACACTCGTATCATGCTCTCCTCAAAGCCCTAGTTCCTCCTCCTCCATTCTCACTTATGATCTTGCATTTGACTTCACTGTCGAAACGGAAGCAATCAAAAGACAACTTCTGTAGACTCCCAGCGACACACCTACCCCCCAGCCATCACCTGCACCCACATGCACTGTCCTCTTGCCATCATCGTCCACTCCTTCTACTTTTCCACGAGATCTGAGGGAATCATAGAAACCCTTGTCCAAGCTGGGGTACTTTCAAGAAAGGAGAAACGAACCAGAGAGATCACCAGGACAACAAGCATAAACAGAGAGGGTTCTAGGTAAAAGGAGATTGCATCCTCTCTCATCCACTTGAAGAGACCGCCCCAGGGAGTCTTTTGTGTTTCCTCAACACTGTCTGCATTTTGCTTTCCACAGGACTATTCTCATCAAAACAAGCCTATTACCTCTCCTATCTTAAACAAAGCAAAACAGAACTTTTGATTCTATCTCCCCTTTCATTTCTTTGCTCCTCTTTGCAGCCAAACCTCCAAAAACTTGCCTTTCATCTTTTATTTCATAAACGTACTTCAAAATTGTTAAATTCAACAATTCTCAGTCCTTACTTGACTTGACCTGTCGGCATGTCTGATCACTCATTTCTTCTTGAAACACTTTCATATTTGACTTTCAGGATACGCCTTCCCTTGATTTTCCTTCTACTTGTTTTCACAGAATCCTTAATTATTTCCTCCCCCTTTCCCAGGAGCCCTGGCGACATAGGCGATTATGTGTCGGGCTGCTAACTGCAAGTTCAGCAGTTCAAAACCACTAGGTGCTCCTCACGAGAAAGATGGGGCATTTTACACCCGTAAAGAGTTACAGTCTTGGGAACCCACAAGGGCAGTTCTCCTCTGTCCTAGTGTCCCTAGGAGTCTCAGAGTCAGAATCAACTTGGCAGTGAGCTTGGTTTGGTTCCAGTTACACTCATTGGTTTAGTTAGACTCATTTGAGATATCAACTGAAAGCGTATCACATAAGACGTTGTTCTGGGTCTGGAAGACGGTGGAAAAAACTGTTCTTGTCTTTGAAAGATAAGGAACTAGTAACAAAAAGAAATAATTCAAATGTGATAAGCAATATAATACAGGGATAAACAGAGAACTGTATTGTCTGTTTGAAGGTTGATAGAAGTCTTGGGTAAACTCTAGCATCAGGTTGCCCTGCCAAAGGGCTCTTCTACTTCTGAACCCACAAGAAGGGGCCCTACAGAACGCACATTAACACTACGCATGCTAACTTTAATTTCAATCTGGGTCCTCCCTAGAGAGCTTCGAATTTCCTTCTACAACGAGAGCAGAAAGAGAGTGGGTGGCTTCTGAATTTTCTTGATGGCTGCAGATTCAATACTACTCCGGGTTTCCAGGCCCGTGGATTCTAGTAGCTGCAATAGGAATTCCTGCCACTGGAGGGCACTGCCGGAAAACAAAGTGGCGGCCAACGTTGGAGGTCAAGGAAGCTCAGCAACTCTAGTCCAAAGCAGAAGCCAGCGGAGAAAGAGAAATGTTTGTGCGTCCTGCAACGAAGGAGCGGTCGATGATTTCAGAAGGTTGTTCTGATAGGCAATTTGGGGCTGGAGCCTGCAGAGAGCCCACTGAGGCCTTGGCATAATGCCATAGGGGATGGCTTCCCAGCTCTCCAGCTGCTGGAGCTGGCCTACTGTAGGCAGAGAACCAATTCCTGTATATACCCCGCTCCCCTTGGACAGAGCGGTTGGACTCTGGACACTGGTGCAAGCATCAATCTCAAACACCACATGGGTCGCTGGCAGCCTGGTCAGGCTCAGGGCCAGTGGGCTGGGGGGCTATCAATTGGACATCACACATCAAAACCCACAAAACCACTGCCATCACGTCAATTCTGACTCATCGCCTCCCCATAGGACAGAGTGAAACTGCTTCCTTGGGTCCCTGAGGCTAGAAATCTCTAACGAAGCAGACAGCCTCATCTCTCTCCTGTGGGGTGGCTGGTGGGTTTGAACCACTAACCTTTCAGTTAGCAGCCCAATGCCTAACCACTGTGTACCAGGCTCACCCAGGGTGGGGACTAAATTCACTCCAAAGAGAAAAGATGTAACAGGTGGGGCTGAGCCTGCGCCTTAGGCAGGTTAGGGGCAATGATGTAGAAAACACTCCCCCACCCTGCATTTTTAAGTCCCCAGTGAGCAAGTATACCCCAACACAAACCAACAAACTTCGCTGCCATCAAGTGGATTCCAACTCACAGCAAGCAACCCTTTCGGGCAGAGTAGAACGGTTCCTTTGGGTTTCCGAGACCGTAAATCTTGATGGGAACAGAAAGCCTCCTCTTTCTCCCATGGGGCAGCTGGTGGGCTGGAACCGCTGACCTTGTGGTTAGCAGCCCCACTTGTAACCCACTGTGCAACCCGGGCTCTTATGAGTAAGTGTAGGAATCTCTGAATTTTAAAACCTTCTTATTAATTTGGGGTTGGGGAGGAGATTTGGTGCTATCCTTAGTTCCCTTAAATGGTTTCTTAAAAGATGTTACATCGATGAATCCAGAGGCCCCCATGAATCCGCCCAGAGCTACAGTCGAAGCCCTATTTCAAACTGGCGTTCTGATCGTCACGGCCCACATTCTCATGCTAACTTTAATTTTGTGTTCTCCCCAGTTCTCTAGCATGTCCAAACTCGTGGAAGTGGCTCCACCTGCTCAGACTGGAAGACCTCCCTCTCCTTCACCCCCTCGCCCTTGCCTCAGCACTCTGCCAGGACCCTGGCCCATGCTTTCATTCCCACCGCACCCTGAAGAGTGTGGGTGTCTTTCCTTGGGTTGCCTTTGCCTTCCTTCTGTCCCAGGCGTCTTTTGGGTGCTCACCCATTCTGACCTGGGCCAGAGTCTCCACAGGGAGTGGGGCTAAGAAGAGAGGGTAAAGGAGCAATTTCCACAGGGCTCTCTTCCCAATGACTTTTCTCAAGGAACAAAGAAGAACGCAAATTTAAATTTGTTCTTGACTGGCCCACTCACACACTGTGCGAGGCCACTGGTGAGAGAATACACAGCAGTGGAGGAAGCTGTGCTTGTGTACAGACAAGTGGCTGAGCTCTGTGGCGAAGAGTTTACGGCTCTCTTCCGCTTAGGAACATCACTGTTGAATCTCTTCAAAAATGCCTACATGACTAGGCTGCGCAGACTCATGCTATACTACCTTTCTTTCTTTAGTTTGCTTCATGTCCTTGCTCCTTGCCCTCACCACAACCTTTATGCATCGTCTTAATGAACACTCCACGGGGAGTCAATACGTGGGCGGTGGATGGACGTGCTCTTGAATTCTCCTGTGTGTGACACAGACATTGACTTTGGGGAATGCAGTATACTTAGACAATGCCCCTCTTTTTAGAAGATTTCTAATCAGAACGTGTTTTTTCCTTAAAAAATGAAATTAAGAACCACTTACTTTATTTCCATTAAAAACCCCCGAGCTGCAACTGTTATTTTATTGCTTTGGGTCTAGAGTTAGACCACACATTGGTGAAAACTTACCTTTGACATATCTGTCAATGAGCTGTAAATTAACACCCACATTGCTGGACGTTGGGTCAAAGGTACAAATACTCTCCATTAAACTTTTGTTCACGTACTGTAAACCAAGAACAAAAGGAAAGTTGTGTGGCCACTAGTAAGCAATACAGTGCGTACTTAACTAATTGACATAATTCCATCTATAGCCATTTTATGACAGGTAAAGTCAATCTATGGTGTTCAAAGTCCAGACTGGAGCCGGGTTGTCAGATGGCGCCACCTGCAGTTCTGAGCCCTTTCTCCGGGCTGTTGACCCGGTCTTTCAGTGAGGTCAAACTTTCGAGAGCCCCAAGTAGCAAGCAAATGTTTTGAGAATGATGATGGCAACAAATGTACAGATGTGCTTGACACAATAGACGTGTGTATGGATTGTGATATGCGTTGTATGAGCTCCCAATAAAATGAATAAAAAAATTTTTTTTTAACCCAAACTTTCGTGACTGAAATTTGGGCTGACCTTGGGCACCACAGTCTTCCTGTGGGCTCATCTCACTAAGCAACATAATGATGTTTTAGAGTAGAAAAGAAGAAATGGGTTGTAAGAAACTATTGAAATATCGATACAGTATGCTCCATGTAGTGATTACCAGAATTCTTCTGGATTCACCAATGCTTTGAATGTAAATGAGAGAGAACAGTTAATACGTGAATATATATCGTCAGCATTTGTGGGTTGCATAATTAAGTGAAAAAAGTATAAATACTTCTGTATTCTTCAGATATTGCATATGGTGATACTTTGGCAGAAAATGTCAACTTTTAGGTATAAAAAGTGTTTCAATTTAGAAGGTACATTGTGTTAAATGTACAAGTTGAAAGTTTAATCAGTAAACAAGATTAAGTGCAAATTTAATCTCCTACCTAAAAAAAAAAGTCAGGACTGTATTCATCTTTGGTGTGTGTGTTTATATATGTGGGAGTGGGTGTGGAAGAGGGTGTGGCTTGATGTTCTATTTCTAATGAACATTCTGCTAATGTTCTATTTCTTGATCTATGTCCTGGATCTGTTGATTGTGTGAAAATTCTTGGATTTTTACACTTAGGACTTTTACCATGATGTCATATACACTTAATGTTATGTAAGCTATTCTTCAATAAAAAGAGTGCTTAAATTGTGCTCCTAAGTATTTATTCAAATGAAATGAAAATTTATGTCCATATACACAAAAAATCCTGTATCCAAATTATTCATAGCAGCTTTATTCAGAATTGTTAAAAAAAAATTGGCTAGGAGCCTTGGGGGCTTAGTGGTTCTATGTTAGACTGCTCTCCTCAAGGTCAGCAGTTCAAATTTACCAACTGCTCTGCCGGAGAAATACAGGGCTTTCTACTCCGCTAAAGAGTTACTTAAGCTCACAGAAGCAGTTCTACCCTGTCTTATAGGATCCCTATGGGTTGGCATCGACCCAATGGCTTTTTTGAGTCAAAGATTGGAAGCTACCAAGGTGTCCTTCAATAGGTGAGTGAACAAACTGTGGTACTTCCGTACAGAGGAGTGTTCTTGAGTGAGAGAGAGAAATGAACTATCAAACTACAAAAAGACATGGAAGAAACTTAAATGTGTATTGCTAAGTGAAAGAAGCCAGCGTGGAAAATCTACTCTAAGCAGACTGTATGGTTCCCACTGGATGGTCTTCGGGGAAAGGCAAAACGATACAGACAGGAAATAGATCATTGGGTCCCTTGGGGCGAGGGATCAATTGTTCACCAATTACAACAGATGTACCACACTCATGCAAGGGCACAGGGCATTTTAAGGAAAGCCGTTCTGCATGATGTATTTGCTAAAGCACAAAGAACTGTACCAACCAAGAACCCTAATACCAACTGTGAATGTTAGTTGATAATAACGGATCATCATACACTAACTGCTCACCACGGCACTACACAAATGCAAGTTGTTACTAATAGACAGTGTGTACATGGGCAGAGGGGATGTACGGGAACTCTGTACTTTTTGCCCAAGTTTTCTGTAAACCCAAACCTGCTCTGAAAGGCAAAGCGTGTCAAATCTAAAAATAACTCTTCAAAAGGGGCCTGCACAACACATTTACCAGTTTACACTTATCCCAGTCCTCATAGTCACTGGAGAATTCCAACTCTGGATGGACGAACAAGATAGCACCCAGTAGGATATCACGCACGAGCTTTGTGTTGGCTTCCGTGTTCTGGTCCTGGTCAGAATCATCTTGGGAAAATAAGGACCTTCGCAAATTATGATCATACATCAACAGTGACACAATGTCCATGGAGCTAAGTTGTTGGATGCTCTCCTGGAGCTCCTGCAGCATGATTCGGAAGAAGAGAATTCCTGCCCGCTGGACTTCCCCTAGATGTTCAATCTCTGCAATGACAGAAGGACACCGTCCATCGCTGTTCAGTCACACACAGTCCTTTTCCTTAGGATCCTGAGCATATTTTAGTAAGTACCCCTGCCCCACCACCCCAGGTGTATGACCACATCCACTACCACTGCCATCAAGCCCAGAGTAGCGCACCCATAGCACCCCTCTCTTTGGTGTACATTTTTATGGGAGCAGACAATCACATCTATCCCCCATGGAGCAGCTGGTGGATTTGAACTGTGCCTCTTGTAGATAGCAGCCCACCTAACCCAGAGAGCTGTCAAGGCTTCTTAAGAAGATCATAGCCCGCTGTTTCACACCACCTTTGTTTCTCTTTCTAGGAAGTTGAAACACAGACAATAGCATGACAGCTGGTGAGCTTGTAGGAAGCAGCTTTGAGGAATGAGAAAACTCGGGTGCTGGAGTGAGACTTCAATTTGAACACGCCTCCCTCTTAGGAGCTCGGTCATCCTTACCAATTCTATGAGAATGAAAGTGAGTCCTGGTAACTCGGGAAAATTAAGTGAGATGATGTGTCTACAAGTGCTTTGTTTCAAGCCTGACACCTGATGGATGCTCAAAATAATTCTCTCTTTTTGTCTTCTTATTGAATCCTACACACGGAAGAAAACCTTTCCGCTTGATTCCACAGAATGCTACTTTTGTAATTCTATTCACTATATTCTAGGTAGCCAAAGAATTCCATGCCTCTTCTCCCTAGCCTTGAACTGATTTTGTGCTGAGAGCTTTGTTGTTGTTAGGGTCAGCCGTTTCAACTCATCGCAATCCTATGTGCTCTTGAACAATACACTCCTCGGTCCTGGACCGTCCTCACACTTTTTCTAACTGAGCTCATTGTTGCAGCCTTTGTGTCGATCCATCTCCTTGACGGTCTTCCTCTTTGCTCCTATCTATTTCTCCCCAAGAATGTTATCCTTTTCCAGGGACTAGTGTCTCCTGATAACATGTCCAAATTACGTGAGACAGAGTCTCACCATCCTAATTTCTAAGGAGTATTCTGGCTGTTCACCATACCTTCAATATGCTTCACCAGTACTGTAGTTCAAATGAATCATTTTTTTCTCTTGTCTTTATTCAATGTCCGACTTTCACATGCATATGAGGTGATTGAAAATACCATGGCTTGGGTTAGGCTCCTCTGAGTCCTTACAGTGACTTTTTTTGTTCATTATTACTTTAAAGAGGTCTTGTGCAGCAGATTGACCCAATGCAATGCATCGTTTGATCTCTTGACTGCTGCTTCCATGAGCATTGATTGTGTGTCAAAGCAAAACCAAATTATTGACTTCAGTATTTTATTTGCTCACCATGATGTGTTGTCTGCTGAGTCAGTTGTGAGGGTTTTGCTTTCTGTACATTGAGTTGCAATCCACACGGAAGTCGTTGACTTACCTTAGCAAGGGCTTCAAGTCCTCCTCACTTTCAGCAAGGAAGGTATATCATCTGGATATTGCAGGCTGTTCACCAGCCTTTCTCCAATCCTGACGTCACATTCTTCTTCCTAGAGTCCAGCTTATTTTATTATTTGCTCAACATACAAATTGGATAAGTATGGTGAGAAGATACAACCCTGACACACACCTTTCTTGAGGATAAGGCGTGTAGTATTCCCTTCTGTTCTCTGGTTCCATGTGCAAGTTGTGCATGAGCACAAATGTTCTGGAACTCCTATTCTTCTCAATGCTACCCATAGTTTGACATGATCCACAAAGTTGAACGCCTTTTCATAGTCATTGAAACACAAGAAAGCATTTTTTGGTATTCTTTGCTTTCAATTGAGATCAGACATCAGCAATGATACCCCTCATTCTACATCCTCTTTTTTTTTTTTTTTCCTACATCATCTTATGAATCCTACTTGAATTTTTGGCAACTTCCTGCCAATGTACTGCTGCAAAAAACATTTGCAAATTATCTTTTGCAAACTTTTACTTGCATGTTACATTAATCATTTTGTTCAATTTTTCTGAATTCTAAGGGTTCCACCTTTCTTTAGAATGGCCACAAATATGCATCTCTTCCTGTTGCCCAGCTAACTTCTCTTCCACAGCAATTTCTTGGCATAGATTAGTGAGTGCTTCCAGTGTTTCATCAGTTTGTCGAACCATTTCAATTGGCATCAATTCTATCAATTCCTGGAGACCTGCTTTTTGCTAATGCCTCCAGTACAGCTTGAATTTCTTCCTTCGATACCATTGGTTCTTGATTATATGCTAAATCTTGAACTGGTTGAATATTGACCGATTCTTTTGATGGAAGAAGAACAGAATAAAGATTTCAACTTGAGGCTTGACTTTTTTTCTTCAATTCTTTTAGCTTGCGCTATGCTGAGTGAGTGTGTTGTTCATTTTTGGCTTTTGAACCCCAGGCCTTGCACATTTCATGATAACACTCTACTTGTCTCCTCAAGTCACCCTTTGACATTTCTGTTCAGCTCTGTCACTTCATCATTTCTTTTTTGAATCGTTTTATTAGGGGTTCATACAACTCTTATCACAATCCATACATTCATTACTTGTATAAAGCACATTTGTACATTCATTGCCCTCAACATTCTCAAAGCATTTGCTCTCCACTAAAGCCCCCGGCATTAGGTCTTCATTTTCTCCCTCCCTCCCCGCTCCCCCTTCCTCATGAGCCCTTGATAATTTATAAATTATCATTTTGTCATACCTTGCCTTGTCCGACATCTCCCTTCACCCACTTTTCTGTTGTCCGTTCCCCATGGAGGAGATCACATGTAGATCCTTGTAATCGGTTCCCCCTTTCTAACCCATCCTCCCTCTACCCTCCCAGTATCGCCACTCACACCACTGGTCCTGAAGGGATCATCCGCCCTGGATTCCCTGTGTTTCCAGTTCCTATCTGTACCAGTGTACATCCTCTGGTCTAGCCAGACTTCCTGCAATTTCTTTAGCTACTCTACTTTCAAGAGCACGTTTCAGGGTCTCTTCTGACATTCACTTTAGTCTGTTCTCTATTTCCTTTTTAATGACTTTGTGGTTTCTTCACATATGATGCTCTCGATAGCGTCTTATAACTCATGTGTTGAATGTGTCGAATCCTTTCTTGAGATATCCTTGAAATCCAGGTGGGACATACTCAGGTTGTATTTTGGCTCTCATGGACTTGTCTTAATTCTCTTCAGCTGCAACATGAACTTACATATGAGAAATTGATGATTTGCTCTTGACCTTGTTTTGGCTGACGATGTTAAGCTTCTCCATTGCCTCTTCCCACAGATATTGCCAATTTTATTCCTGTGTATTCCATTTGGTGAGGTCCATGTGTATTGTCAACATTTATGTTGATGGGAAAAGGTATTTGCACTGGAGAAGGAATTGGTCTTGTTAAATGACCTCAAGTGACCTCCAGCTTCATTTCTTTCACCACAGCTCTGCTTTCACATTTCAATCACCAATAATGATTATTATATCTTCAATGTATACATGATACATTTCAGAATGAAGGAGCGGATAGAATTCTCCAGTTTTTTCATCATTAATCTTAGTGGTTGGCATGTAAATTAGTATCATAGCTGTATCAACTGGATACAGTTAGGTGTCTAGATAGTATTACAGACAGCATTGCACATCAAGATAGATCCTGAAATGTTCTTTGTGAGACACGTGTGACCTCATTCCTCTTCAATCTGTCATTCTGGGCATAATCATCTCTATGACTGTCTGATCCAATAGGGCAATGCCAGTCCATTTCAGCTCCCTCATGCCTTAGACATCCATCTTTATGAGTTCCGTTTCATTTTTGATGGTTTGTAAATTTCTTCAATGAATCAACGTTTGCAGCTGTTTCTTCTCATTTTGAGTCATGTCTCACCAGCAAATGAAGGTTCTGAAAGCTTTCCTTCAGCCACATCATTAAGGCCAATCCTACTGGAGGATGCAGCTCTTCCCAACAGTTTTTGGAGTGCCTTTGAACCTGAGGGGTCCACTTCCTAGCGCTAGTTCTGACACCATTTCTGCTGTTATTCAAAAGGTTGTCGGTGACCAAACCCTCAGAAGTAAATTGCCTGCTCCTTCTTCATGGTCTCTTCTTAGTCTGAAGCTCTACTGAAACCTATTCACCATGGATGACTCTGCTAGTATTTCAAATACTGGTAGTATAGCTTCCAACATTACAGCAACATGCAAGCCACCGCTGCATGACAAACTGACAGATGCATAGCTTTGTGGATGTGGAATTATAAGAATTGGTCTCTGGTTTTGGCTCTGCCATACACTTGGGTAATTCACTTGACCCTTAGGGGTCTAAGTTCCTTCCTTATCTATAAAATTAGATGCTTTAGTTAATGCTCTGTTACACAGTGGAAAGAGCATGACCTTTCAAGTCACCCCAAGTCTGGAATCAATTCACTCTTCACTCCTTGATAATGTATATAATTTGGGGTTACTGCATAATTTGGAGAAAGTTGTTTGACTTCTCTGAGTTTCACTTTTCCCGCCTGTAGGGGTATCATCATTCATCTCATAGAGCTGTGGTAAGAATTAAGTGAAATAATGCATGTAAAGTGCTAGACACAGAACGGGGCACTTAATGAATGCTAGTCCTATAATGTCTTTAGGCATCCTTCTAGTTCCAGGTCTAACACTGTCTGAGTCTAACCCACAGAATGTGATTCCCTCTCCTTTGCTCTAATTTACAGACCTCACTCTTGCGCTCAGGGCTAGGAGGGAAACCATCTCACATGGAAAGGTCTGTATTTTGCAACCGTTCATTTTAGAGAATACATCCTTGGTTTACCCAACACTTATTAAACTCCATATTCAGAATGTTGCCCCATTCACAATACCTAAGACATATTTTATCTTTATCTCTCCAGAGAGCTCGCCCAGTAGTTCATAGCAGGCAGCTTGGACCACCTTTATCATTTTCTGTAGATCTTTATATTCTTGGTACAGCAACATCCTACTCCGGCCAATGTTAACATCTATGGCTCCCAGAGCCTCTCCGGTTCTCTCTCGAAGTGGAATGATGATGTGGGTTTCTCCGCAGGCAGAGGCCACAATAACTTCTGAACTGTCTATACACTGGAAGAGGAAGTCTCTGAAATCAGAACCACATCAGTATAAGAACATATGATATCATTCCACCCAAACACGTCTTGTGTCTACTCCACGCCACCCACCCCGGCCCTTTGTGCTGTCTCGTTTGCCTTGAATGCTCCACACCTTGATGTCACGTGGCTCTCGACCTCTGTTCATTCGATCTCTACTTAAATGTCACCCCCTAGAGAAGGTGACAACCTTCCAATCCAGAGCAGCATCACCTGAGTCATCTGGATACCCTGTTTTATTCTCTTTACCGCACTTATTAGTCTCCAAAGGTGTTCATTTTAAAATTTATTTCTTGTCCAATAAATATTGGTTGAAGGCCTGAGGAATGACAAGCATGTTTAAGGCAGGTTTCTCAGAAGCAGAGCCCGAGATGGGGATTCTTGTGCAAGTGATTTCCTGGGGGAGTCCTCTCCCAAGAAACCTGCAAGGGAATGAGGGACGCAGGCTAGGAAAGGGGCTGATGATAACGCAAATGTGCTTGGTGTTAGCTTCAGACAAGATAAGCTTTGGAGGGTAGCTTACACTGTACTCAGTCCTATCTTGAGGCAAGGAAGAAGGGCTTTTGTATCCTAGCACTGGTTGTCATTGGCTCTGAGTGTGTGTGTGTGTGTGTGTGTGTGTGTGTGTGTGTGTGCTGGGCAGGGCACAGGTAGGATCTGCTTCAGTGAGGGACCTAAGCTTTTCATAGAAAGGTAGGGGTTGCTATTTTTCTAGTGAGGCATAGACACGGCTCCTTAGTTCTTTCTCCCCCCACCCCCCACCTCCACCCCGTTTAGCTTGATATTGAGATAACATTCCTTTGTGGTCTTTACAAAAAGGCTAGAGTTTTGTATAGTCCCAAAAAGTGCATGAATAGTTCATAAAGCTAAATTTATAATGATAGGTGAGATTGCACCTCTTGTGCGCTTCCCACCCTCCCTGCTGCTGTACCATCACTTGGTATTTCGAAATGATGCCTTGTGCTGAACTCTCCAGGCATAATGAGCAAGCCTGGAGGATTAAGAGTCCCTCAGATGGTTTCTGCTCTAAGCCACACACAGGAATCCAGCAGTATGATTCTGGGTGTTGCCACAGGGATTTCTGTAACCCCCACACAAAATAACTCGGCAAAAAGAGCTTGAAACTGAGTGGAGATGTTGGAGTGAAGCCAAATTAAATTTTAATTAACTTATGCAACTCCTGCCAAATTAGTCCACCGGTCTGAGATAGGGGTACTGCCTAGTCAATAACACCGTGTCCCCTATAAGCAGGTCATCCCTTTTGTGGTAGGTGTGATCTTAGTTGAGATCTGTTTTGCATGTTTATTGGTGTGTGTGTGTGTGTGTGTGTGTGTGTGTGTGTGTGTGTGTGTGATGTCTCTTGAATCCCACAGGTAAACTTCCTTGTAAGGGTGATGGGGCTAGGTTCTTGTTAATGATGACATTCTGTACTTCCTTCCCACTCTTGCCCCTACTCACCTTTTAAAAATATAAAAACGGTTCACAGGCTAGCTAATGTCAACAGATGAGTTTTAACAAGGAATATGAATGTCTGGTTTTTGTTGAATTCCACGTTTTCAAGAAAATCATAGAAGATAAATCAACCGATGCTTCAACACACACCGTTTTCAAATGAGAAATAGCAATGCACACTGCTCTAAAGTGAGTCTGGGGGAAGAAGAGTTAGTCCGCGTCCTGTCCAGATGACAAGCAACAAGAATCGTTCCTGACACTCCGAGCTGAATCTGCCATCCCATCCCGGGGATGTGTTTCAGCAAACAAGCAAAACAGAGACGTGCCATACCTGAAGATACAAGTCTTCCTAACGATGACGGGGCGGTTGGTGTGGATTTTTGTCAGGCCAAGGTGTCCCGTAACCATCATACAGCGTAACACGTAGTCCGAATTCTTGAAAAGAATAAAAGACTGTGTTATAGAGAAGACTGATTAGACCTGATAATCTCTCGAAATATAAGGCAAGGACATTTGGCAAGCTGTAAAGATGAAGCCCAGTGGCAAACAGGCTTCTAGTTTCTTCTTCTTCTTTTGTATTTTCCCCTAGTTTGCTACTTGGTGTTAGACAACTTGCTCTAGTTCTAAGTACATGATACTGCTTGCTCTGTCCCATGAAGGGATGAGCTATTCCAGAAGAAGACAGTTTCAAACGCTAAGATTATTCTAAATGCACAAGCTTCTTTTTATAACTGGGATCAGGTAATATTCTGATCTAACCTTTGGGTGTTAAATAGGCATTCGTAGAAAATTTGGAAAAGACAGGAAACCCCAAAGAAAAGAAGTCTAATGAAAACTATTCTCCCCGGAGGCTGTGTTCTCTCCACCGCACCAAACCCGTTCTTGCAAAGGTGCCCCGCGACTTCTCCTTTTCACAATCCCTGGTCAGGCCTCCATTCTCGGTAACGCTACCGGTCCCCTGCTGCCATGTGGTGCTGGCAGTCATTACTCTTTGGATACTCTGTTCACTGGGCTTTGGGAGCATTACTCTCCTGGTTCCCTTCCCCCTACCTCCCTAGACATCCCTTCTTATTCTCTTTGCTCCTCTTTTATAGTTCTCACCTTGAAGAGCTTTTCAAATTGTAGATCATCATGTGTGCGTGGGTTGGGAAAATATTTTAATGAGCCTTCATCAGGATTTTTTGTTTATAAAAAAACAGTTTATTTATAAGAAAGGACTAGCAAGCAACCCTTTTTGTAAAATACACTCAACTCCAAGGAAGACACATTCATGTGGGACTTTTTAATGCCTCTCCCCTTCGAAATTAATTCTTAATTAATTAAAAAGGAAACCATGATAAATGGGGCTGCAAGCAGAAAGGGTGTCTTGGAAGATAACCTGCTTTGTAATATGAAACTTACTCTTGCTTCACACGCCACGGCCTCAAGTTCTACCCAGCTCTGAAGATTAAAAAAAAATGTTTTCAACAGAAGACTTGGCAAACTGTAACGATCATGCCACATTGGCAAACCGGGTTCTTGTAGCTTCTGTCCCAGTATATTTTTTCCATGTGTTGCTACTTGGTGTTAAATACTAGACTGATCTGACCTTCACAAACCTCACTCTGGGTTTCCAGATTTAAATCTTACGACAAAACCAAATGGTTTCTCTCCCGTTGTTTTCTTCCTCCCCACTGGGTGAGATTGGCCACTTCTGCTCTCAGACCAGAAACATAATAAAGTATGGGACTCATCATCATCCGCCTGGGAAAAAAACCCAAAAAGCTTGCATTCCAGCAGGGCCACGAAACTAAATCAAGTCCTGAGATAACCACTCCCAGTTGAAATTCCCTAGGAAACTATTTGGAGGAAAAAGTCAGCCTTTATATTTCCTCTATTTTTCTTTCTTTTGCCACGGACTTGCTGGCTGTTGTTCCCTTGCCTTTCCAATATTCAATCTTTCTCATCTTTCTCGTCTTAGTAATTCTCTTTAGTGTTTATCTTCCTCTTACTTTTTTCCTCTTTGGATGAACTTTTTTTTTGGTTTTAAACAGGATTGTTGTGAGTTTAATTGGAACTTCACTAAATGGATCTACTTGTTTCTCTTAAAACAAATTATTCTAATTTTAAAATTTATTTTATTAAAAAAATAATTTTATTGGGGGCTCTTACAGCTCTTATCACACTTCATCCATCCATCCATTGTGTCAAGCACATTTGTACATATCTTGCCAGTATCATTTTCAAACATTTTCTTTCTACGTGAACCCTTGGTATCAGCTCTTCATTTTTTTCCCTCCCCCCACCCCATGAACCCTTGATAATTTATAAATTATTCTTTTTTTCATGTCTTACACTGACCGCTGTCTCCCTTCACCCACTTTCCCACTTTTCTGTTGTTCGTCCCCCTGGGGTGGGTGGTGGTGGTGTTATATATTGATTATTATGATCAGTTCCTGGATGAACTTTTTAAAAAAGAGCACAACAGAATAAAAAAATGTCAGAGAAGCAACATATGTAGTAAACGTAGATACTGTTTTGTAAAGCTTCTGTTTCAAATGTGTGTGTGTGTGTGTATTTTTGTACATGTGATCACGGGCAATATAATTTTAAGCCACATTGATCCCCAATATTTGGAGAGCAGCAGAGCTCAGTCCTCATCTTTCTTTTTCTATTTTCACTCAGTCCCTTGGTGATCCTATCTAGTCTCATTCTTTTTAAATACTGTTTATTATACCGCTTAGATTTATCCCTGAACACCAGCCTCTATACATCATTGCCTATTTAAAATTCCACTTAGATATCTAACAGACACATCAAACTAATATTTAAAAATATTGTAAAAAAAATTAGTAGGCAAAGGCTATGTTTTACTTGACTTTGTATTACTTTCTTTGTATTGAATCTATTTATTTAAAAATTATAAAGTTTTATTGACAAAAAGAGCTTTATTGACATATAACCCATGTATCATGCAATTCAATGGTTTAAATATATTAAAACGAGTTGTACAATTATCACCACAATCAATGTTTGAACAGTTTTCTGCATTCTTGCATCCATTATTATTAGCTCCCCATTTCTCTCCGGCCTCCCCTGCCATAACCCAAAGAAACTACCCATCAAAGGCCGGTTTCTAGAGACGCACCTATCCTGGATTTCATAGAAAGAAAACCATACAACCCCCCACCCCGACAACAAAATAAAACACACCAAACCTCAATCCAGAAGAAAGCAGAAAACAATAAAAAACTAGAACAAATTAAAAAACGGGTCAAAAGGGTGGGGGGAGATAAAATGGTAATATTTCAACCTAACTATATTTGGAGTAGGGGACCCTGGGGTTGTAGTAGACCATGAACTAGGCTGACAACCACAAGACCACCACCTCAAACCCGCTCCCACAAAGATTCACAGCCTCAGAAACCCAAAGGGATAGCTCACCTCCACCCTTCAGGGTCACTGTGCGTCAGAACTGACCTGATGGCAGTGAATTTGAGTTTGCAGTAACCCACTTTCCAAAGCGCTCTAAGGGCAAGGCTATTCACATGCTTGGCCAAGGATTCTAGGGAACTCCATGGAGGCTTGATCTGTGTGGGGATTCTGCAAATAAATTTTGGGCTTTCACTGTCACCCATAGCCTTCTTAAGCTCTAATACAATTCCCTCCTCTGATCTTGGATTTTATTATTTACAGTCCTTGTGTCACCTGAAATGCAGATATTTTACTCTGGAGTTTTGCAGCCAATTGATCCTCTCCAAGTCAGAGGAAGAAAGAGAAGGTTTTTATTTAGAAAGTATATCAGCGAGACTAGATAGCAGTGCAAAACAGACTTTGTAGTGCTGGTGCCTTGTTTGAAATAAGAATACATAGAGAATATATACCTTTGAATTGGAAATGTACACTTTGGGTGGGTCATATATATAGATGTTTTACATAAACTCAGGTTTCAGGATAACCATGGGAAACAACTGTTAACCATTAGCAAGCACATAGAGCAATAAGGTTCTTTAAGTCTCGAGCCAATTCAGAGTATCTTTGTTAACTAGATATAAGGGCCTAGCTTTTAGTCACTAATAGGTAAATAAGAGAACATTCTCCACATTATCTGACTCCTTTAGGTGACATCGGCATCCAACCTGTCTGCTTTTGAGCAAAGTATCAAGTTACAAACTTCCAGAGGTGGCATTAAGTACCTTTAGGCTGTGTTTTGTAAGGGTGGGGAGGTTTCTAATTACATTATGTGAAATAATTTGGGTTATACATGGATGACATGGGTTGGTATGCTTCTTCCAAGTGGATTTAGCTGACCTCACACAGATTGCTGGACTGATTTCATTATGCAAACTGTTCTAGGGGGAAAAAAGAGACCCCCAATTCAAATATAATTTATAGAGAACCATTTATTAAGTCTTATACAAACAGAAGCAAGACAAGAAAAAGATAAATCATCCAGATGAAGGAGCTCATCAGCATGAGGTCATAACAGTGTCCAAGGATTCACAATGACATCAATACTTAAAT